CGAATTCGTCTCTCCTGTCTTAGGATGTGTCGATATTAGATTCTTCCTTTTCTCTTCAGGTTCATATCTGATTCTCTTGTAGGATGTATTTGCAAACCCACATATTTGCCTCGTGTGAACTGCCTTTGAATGTTACCGACGGTGAAACTGCAAAACTGGGTATCGGTTCATGGGCGGACATAAGGGGGGCGGAGGTGGGTCCGGCTCCCTCCACAGTTCTGCTCGGCCCCTCCCAAACAACGTCAAGGACCCAAGCCATTGGTTTAGAGGTAAAAGGCATAGGAAATGTAATAAATATGAGCTAATCCTAATGTAATCGATCAAAGATGAAAATTTCTCGCAAAGTGAGCAGCAAATTTCTATCGTCTGTAATATTTAATTCCATTTAATTTGTCATTGAAAATGGCTAAAAATTGCACTCGAGACGTTCCAATTTTCAAAAATCATCCGGGAGAGGCGGAGGCCGTCTCGATCCACTGACACCCCTTAGCCCACGTTCTATATCCTCCTGTGCTCCCCCCCCCCCCCCCCACAAAGAAAATTCCTAGTTCCGCCCATGTCGGTTGTAGTGCTTCAAGATGTACGCTCCTGATTATTTATTTTAAAAGTGGGATGAACGATCATTATTGCTCGAAATTCAACAGAATATTCTATCTCAACCAATCACCTTCAGTAATTTTCCATGTACATAATTAAGTATTTCAGAATTCCATGACGTCGAAATTCTAGATACTGCAATTTTACCATTGTTGCGATAAAACATGAGGCGAGGGGCTTTGAGGACAAGGCGCATACTTACAAGCATTTTCTGCTATTAAGAGAAATACGTCTTTATGAAGTTTTGAAATTATATGTATCCCTATGGCGGGGAAAACTTCAAAGTGACTTGCTGATGCTTAAAAATTGGAATTTGGGGCCAAATTTTTCACGGATTATGCATTAAGACTAGTTTTAATTCCGCTCTTCAATATCTCGATTTTTTTTTTTTAAGAAAAGAAGAAAAAACTGCTCTTTTATGCGCCTTGTCCTCTAAGCCCCGCAAATAATGTAAATAAATAAATAAGTAACTACATCTCGACTAATTATCCATAATTTATTTTCCTCTTTTTGATTTATTATCTTTTATTTTATTTTTCAGATAAACATCAGCCTAAAGCAAAAATATGACGTGTATCATAGGATATCCCGAACCCTACGCGTACCAGGAGTCCCCGCCCCCCCCATAGGCTTGGTAGCTGCTGCCTTTCAACTTTGTAAGTATCTACCGTAGAAAAATAGCTCAATTTTTTCCCTGAGTGCTCCGTTTCGGAAATCTGTGAGAGAGCAAAACAATGTCCTCGTATAGTGCAATAACATGTCAACAATCTCCATGTATATTTGTATCTGAGGTGGGCCATCCTTTGCGCTCATAAAGTGGTCCTGAAATGTTTTACGCATTCTCATGTTAGTTTAATCTCTTACCAAATATTGCTATTTTCTGATATGTTGCTGAGTCGAACAATGAATTAAATAGTTACCTACTTCCCTAATAAGAGATTTTTTTGCAGTAACTTTCAAAGTTGCTTCGTTAATTCCAAGTAGAAATAAAACATTTCCATCGGCGACCATATAAATGATTGTGTGGCGAAGCTGTTCATTCATAAATTACTCAAAAATAGGTCACACACTTATTTACGGAATTATCTCAATTTTTTTGGTAGGGGCGAAGTTGCTATTTCGGGGCGGTCAGGTCCCCTCGGCCCAATACTAGCTCCGTTCGTGAAAGGGCCAGTATGAAGGCAGACCATCGAAAAAAACTGTGACTCATGCAATTATCATAGAATTTTGGGAGTTTTTCTTGCGGGGCCAAATAAATTGAGGTACCGAATCATATAGTCTAATTATTTGTATAGGTACGGGCGATACGGGGCCTTTCAAAAATGATTGGAACAGGCCTAGCATGATTACATTACATTTAGCCGCGCTACAAAAAATTGTTACATTTTGCCGCAGGTTACAGGTGCTGTGTGTCTAATAATGAAACAAGGAAACTGAGTGTGACAAAATGCAACAAATTCTGTTGCAATCGACCTCATCGACAATCCAGTACATTGCAATTCTATTGTAGGTACTCAATAGGTCCTAGTGATTCCTGCTTTTCCCAGATGCTAGGGGCTAAGGAAATCATGAAAAATTACTCCTCATTAACCAATCAGTTTCTCATTTCCCCAGTAGTGGAAGGCATGGGCGGGTCTAGATCCTCATGCTCGTGGGTGCTCAGTTTACAACTGCGTGTGGGGTGCGTGCATGGAGGGTTGGGGGCCACCCCAGCTTAGAGGGAGGGAGATTTCAGGGTCTTCCAGAGCCGGATTTTTGGGGGGGGGGGGGGCATCCATGGTGCCATGGCACCGGGCGGCAAATTTCGGAATATATATATATATAAAGAGGAGTTTATTATTGACGTTCGCCCTTTACTTGTCACAAAATCTGCGTTCTTTGAAGAATCTTTTCCTCCTCCTTAGATATTTGCTTGCAACACTTTCCTGCACAATTGCGCATCGTTCTCACTATCGTTCGGATTACGCTTTTTCCATGTTTCCGATGTTCCATGTCATGAGATATTGAAGTGATCAAGATTAAGGTATTACTAGCCGTTCTGGACGCGCTCTGCGCGTCCGTCACGGCCAGCCAAGGGGCCGCGCCCCCTGGACCCCCGATCACTCGCTCCGCGAGCCATTTTTCTCAGTGATTGGACATTTGATCACTAAGATGTATACATTTTGGAGACTCTGGAGGCAAAAAAGATTTCGTCACAGAACCTTGTTACCGGAGCCTGCCGTCATTTGCACATTAATACATCTATGGAGATGAAGCAATGATGGGCATGTATTATTTCTTCAAAAACGCATTTGACTGGGACGTCGCGTCAGTCCCATTGGGTGGAGGAAAGTAACAACCGTGGATCTTCTTCCACGATTTGACTCGCTGAAGTAGCAAAAGTTCATCTTTACTTCTGAAGAAGATTTTCGGTGCTTCGAATAGGACAGGCGTTTGCCATTAGTCTTTCAATCGTACATATCCTTAAGAATTATCCATCAGATTATTTTGCATATTTCATGAACACTTTCCGTTATTTTGAGTTTTCTATTACTTATAGTGGCATTTGTTAATCAGGTACAAAGCTAAAAATGCAATGTTGGGTTTTTGCACTTTTGGCGTCACCCTCAATCCCGCATGGCTTGTGAGTTCACGTGAACCCATCATATTAATCCACGCAGAACCACCAATGGGTGGAAGGATCGAAACTTTACCGCGAAATGTTACGTAAGAATCGATGGTGAAATTTATCACTACGACTGGATGCCAGTAGACGATTGCTCACACCAATTCTTCATCTTCTGTCTTTTTTTTTTTCGTGTCCTAACGTAAAATATTCATTTTTTCAGGTAATAATGATGAATTGGCGACCATTGCCTTCCTCAAGCAGCAGTGGGGGGCGGTGGCGGCAATGGAAGAAGCGTATAATAGGCGCCGCAGACAAATGAAAAAGGCAAAAAAAATAAGATTTCCCAAGGTAATTGAACCGGTGGAACCATTCATTATATTTAATAGTTTTCATATTAATATTTTTTTTCTTTAGTCAGTATATTACAAATAGTGTGTACAATAATTTATGCATACCAAAGAAAATGATCTTTTTACAATTTGTTGGATCCGTTTAAAAAAATTAAAAACATTTTACAGGTCGGCTTCTTGATAAATGTTAAAGAGGTAGATGTAAAAAGATAAAGTAAAATTAGAATAAAAAGAGCACATATAAGAATGAAATAGTACAAGAAAAAGAAAGAAAAAAATAGAAAAGAAAAACAAGATGGCAAGGATGAAGACAAAAGAGATACAAGATAAAAGAAAAAGAGAGGAAGGTGGCCAAAAGTGTGAAGTGCCTAACTATATGTACAAGACGAAGTATTTAAATAGATCTGTCTTGCCAGACCTATTTTATTTTAAATTAAGGACACAGAGAAAGGTACAGCCTTATAGATCAACATCATGACGTCGGACTTTTTTGAAGTCAGGTGTCTACGTTCCTTTCATACCAAAATTGATTTTTTGTTTCATCTTTCCTTTCTATTTTACAAAATTCTGCTCTTCACACAGTGCCCCTGAATCAGTTAAACATTTTGAAGTCACTATTGTATTTTCATTTCTGTTTCAGGCGGATAATCCTGCGACATGATCTACACATGCTTCATATATTTCTTTGGAATATTTTAATGTGAAAAATGTCTTATATATATATAGTAAAATGTAACTAAATAAAAGAGCTAATAAAGAGCGTCTTTCAGCTTTTTTTGAAATTTCAATTTTTTCTTTAACTTTTGAAGCTTAAAAAAGTTCGTTGCCATAGGTACGGCAGCATCTTCTTCTTCTTCTTCTACTAACGACTAGGGCATAGCCCTGTTTGTCTAGCCTTCGAGTGCCGAGCACAAAATATTAAAAATATAATAATTATCTGTAAACATTCGTCAAGTCAATAAAACAAATAGCAACAGGAACATTCAATCATCTTCAGGAGAAGAGAGCCAGCTTTGTGCCCATCTCTTAGGCGGTCGTCCAGGCAGTCTTTTCCCTATGGGTTGTCCAGTCATACAAACTTTTGCCAGTCTCTCTTCATCCATTCTGTCAACGTGCTCCGACCACATCTTTCTCCTCATCCTAGTCCACTTGGCTACATCTTGCACATTACAAGCATCCCTGATGGACTCGTTGGTCTGATGATCCCAAAGTGTAAAGCCCGCTATTTTTCTTAAGACCTTCATTTCAACGGTGCGGAACACCGGCAGCATAACATGTCATAATTTCTTGCCAGAGTATCCACTTGTTTCCATATGAGAACAACATACAGTGCAGGAGTGGAATAGTGATGACAGGGCATAACTCTCGTGCGGGACTTTTGAAAAAAAAAAAAAAGATAGGGGAAAAAGTTTTTTTGATTCTTCTAACATTACCAAATTCAAAAAGCGTCTAATGATGAATTGTAAGCTCCATTTTTGGACAGCACGACACATGATAGCGTCGGAGCCATTATGTTGTTGCCATATGGCAACAGGAAAACTGTTGGGCCAGAAGTTTGCCGGTATGTTGTTGCCATATGGCATCTTGCAGTTTTTGAGTCGAAAATAATATTTCAATCATTTTTTTACTCATCAGTCCAGGAAATAATCAATCTAGATAGTGTAGGCAATGACTGTGATTTTTTCCCCGTCTCTGAAGGCAAGCTAAGTCATTCAAAACATTCTTCAAAGTTGGGCTACTCGCGGCTACTCCTTGAAAATGGCCCCGTCGTTATAGAAAAACGGTATTATATAGTTGATTTGGCAGCTCCAGTTCCCCCCACCACTATTTTTTTTTAGGTCGGTAATGTTGTTAAGTTCCCTAGAATCCACACGGGGTACCAATTTGATCATTCCTGAATTTACTATGAATTAAATAATTGCTGTTGCCATATGGCTACGCGATGCAGTAAAGGGTTAAAAGAAAATCCAACAGCTACTTCAAAGCATCCTGTGCCCATTACATAGGTGTAATTAAATCATAGTTATGATGGAATGGTCTTCTGAAAATCTCTCTTAAATAAATCGATATGCAGAAGTCGGTAATTTAGATCTCATTTTTTCTTTCTCTTACGTTCAAATTGTCACCCATCTGACGGAAGGGCTCAATTATCTCAATGGAGATGTTGCATGAGGAATTTGCGATTTGACTGTTGATTCTTATATACAAGTTCGCGAGAAACACGATGGTGCCACTGGTTTTCTCTAAAATCAACTCCCAAGCTCAAAAGAAGCTCTCAAGATAGGGAGCAAATACATTGACAGGGCTGCCACTTTATTTGGGGACTCTAAAACAGAAAACAAAGCATCAAAGCTAATGTGTTTGCTCCCTATCTTTGCATGGAGAGTTTGCCTTGATGTAGAGGTGGACTCGCAGGATAGCTTGGATTATCCCCTCCATTTTGGCCTCAACTTGAGAGCTTCTTTTGAGCTTGGGAGTCGATTTCAGAGAAAACCAGTGGCACCATCGTCTTTCTCGCCAACTTTTACATAAAAACCAGTACTCAAATCAAATCGCAAATTCCTCACACATGCAACATCTCCATTGGCAGCGAATCATTGGAATGATTATCCCTAATAGCACAGTTACACAATGGAATGTTTTTAAAATGTTTCAAATGATGTCAATCTCGGATCAGTCATTGACATGTTTCCAACACATTTTCAAAACTAATACATGAAATGGGCAAGTTGGCCGTGTCTTTGAAACATATTGAAAACATATCGAACATGTTTCTAATTGTGGTCATTCGAACTTTTTTTAAAATGTGTTGGAAACGTTTCAAACTTATTTCAAAAAGGCATAAATAACCCAATTAACCCACCCCAAAAATGTGTAGGAAATGTGTCAGCTATTTGTTGTAAATATATTGCAGTCCGTTCAAGAAACCATATCAGAAAGGTTTCAAAAACATTTCAAAACCATTGCCACATCTAAGCCTATGATTGAAACATATTTACGAAACATTTCTACCACAGTTTATATGAAAATCAAATGAACCTTTACTTATTGACACCAATCAGAAACAATTTGTAATTGTGTCAATTTTTTGTCAACGACCCAAGCACAGATTCATATATTAGATTTGTGTACGATATGTTGTGAAAGGAGATAAACTAAATATTTTGGAAACATTTCTGACACATTTTTAAAAAGTTGGTGCAGAAATTCTTGGAAGTTCGAAGTTTCTGAGAAATTAACCGGACATATTTCTGACACAATTTGGCAACGTTTCCAAGATCCTTCAAAAACATGTTTCAGAAACAACTGGCAGATATTGTGTATTTTTAATCTGATAAGGTACAGATATATGTTGAATCTATGTATGAAACGTGACGGAGGGGTGTTTGAAACGTCTTCGGATTTTCGTGTACGCATTCCCTCATTTCTCTCGAGTTGAAATACTCGTGTCACTCTCATTTAATTGATCCGCGGCGATCGTATGTCATACCTAACCATTTAAAAAATAAAAATAAACGCATAAGGGTGAGGAAATTTATTTCAGAAATGTGTTAGGAATACATCAGTTAAACAAAACAGTGCCTTGATTGTCATTAAAACCTGGTGAACACAAGTTGAAAACATTTCTAAGTCGTATCTAAAAATTTTCCTAGTTCAAACTCATAGAGAAAAAAAAGGAGGTGTTTGCATCTTGAGGATTTGTACCCACCTACGTCATCAATGTAAACAAGACGCTCGTTGAGGGTTATGTTGACGCTGTATCGTATGTAATTATTCAGAGTTAAAAACAGTTTTAAATTCCTGGTATGCATCGCATTTATCTCCATAAGAGCTTATAAGTTATGGATTATCTAAAATAATGAAACCGTATACATCATGCTTTGCGTATACTTTGCGCATACTAAAATGCACTGCCAACGGAGACCTTTGCCCAGTGTGTCATTGAAATATGTAAAAAATGAATTCGAAACATTTCGGTGACACAATCTGCAAATGTTTCACAGACACATAAAAAGTGGTGACATGGGAATGTGTTGAACACAGCAGAGTGGATTCGTGTTTGACACTTCATTCGGGTTTTTAAAGTGTCACGTGAAACATCTCAGAAATGAGGCTTGGTGTCATTGACACGTTTTAAAAACATCTCTAAAACTAGGTGTGCTATTGAGGGATACCGGAAAACAAGTCTACCGCGTAAGTCGGCAATCACATACCTAACTCTGTTTACGACGTCGCAGACTTCTGTAATACTTTATTTTTTACACGGAAAACTACTCAACGGCAATTCTTTAAGACTGCCGTGATTTGTCTTTTCTGTGCGAAGAAAATTCTATATACACTCTAAGGAATGATGTCAATTGCGGTTCTCCTTTAAAAAATATAACACAGAGGCGGAGATTTTAAGACACCGCGAACGAGACAATTATGTGATTGCAGACTTACGCCGTCGAATTACGAATTAAAATGAAATGAAGATGAAAATAAGAGAGCGTTTACTCAGTTATCCGATGGATTACATGTTAAGAGTTGAAACAATAACAATGTTTTCGTTGTTTGAAGATTCTGTGACGTACCTACCAACTTTTAATTTCCCTCCTAATCTGTTCAAGATTCTTCCCGGGAGAAGCCGCGTTGTGTAAAAATGCGGCGCGACGGCACGAGTTATGTGTTATCGGAATTAACGCCAAGTGTGTTTTGAGTATACGTTTTTAGGCGACTTCCAGATTTTTTTCGACTGAAATATTTTAATAGCAGGTAAAACTACACTTCATTTCTGCAGCTAGGTAACTCAAAACCGCCAAAAATCGAGTTATGTGATTGCCGACTTACACCGTCGATAGAGGAAACTAAGGAGGCGAGTTGATGACGGCGCAGAGATACAACTATTCGCACATGATGGATGTCCGTGTCGCATCTGCAAAATTGAAGGCGCCATGGCGCTTGGAGTGAACTCGTAATGCTCCGTTCTGTGCTGCCAGTGAGGTGTCGCTCAGATTCGGAAGACATAATTTTAAAAAATAGGCCCGATTACGTCTCAACTCTTTTGTTTCTCAATTTTTTCTTGTTTTTAAAATTTGAAGTCTAATTCTTTTCTTATTGTCCAGATACTAACAGGCCTACATTTACAACTCGTACTTACCGCGGTCCCTTACAAGTAGCGTGGCACGTTTTTCAAACAAGTCTCCTGTCAATTTGACCGGGCTTGAGCATCTTAGGTTTGATGAAAATATCATTAAAATATGACTGCACCTTTGTTCGACAAAAATTCAGCATTCTAGAGGGGAGCCAAAATAAAAAAGCCATTCCATTCACAATCAGTCAGTGAATTTCAATAAAATTTAGTATTGTTTAGTCTTGCAAAATTAGGCTCCAAATTCCAAGGCAGTTCGGTGACGTCCTAAAACATTGTTGTCATTTACAACAAAGTGATTGTTGAAAGGGACCTCCTGCAGCATGCTTTGTATCCCTGGTGCATTTAATATACATGTATTCCTATCTTTTTATTATAACTTTTCTTACTGAAGACCTAGTGTTCTCTGCTTCAAAATTTCACCTAGTACTTTCTAGATTGAATGTTTCATTTTTCGATGATGATAAAAGGATCTTTTCGGCGTACATATTTCTCGGGTTCATGAAACCGAAAATGATCCATCATTTTCCGACTTTTGGTTTTTAAAAGCAGTATTATAAGTTGCAATCTGTGGCTCGCGCTTCTGCTAGAAATAATGACTCATTGATGCGTCTGGTACCTATCTTTGATTTTATAATTTTTTGTTTTCAT